TAGAAAATGAAGTGAAATTTCATTAACTCAAATTTTAAATAAAATTATTTGTTACCATCATTAGTAAACACCGGAAGAGATGTTATATTTTAAACGTTGAAGCGAAATGTAAAATTTTGTAGTGGATACTTATATGTTCTAATGTAACAGTGTATAATAAATATTGATTACTCTAATTTTGTATTGAGCCCTGATTTAAATTAATGCTTTGAACGTTGCAACGTTATTCTTCTTACATTAACATTAAACAATCTTGAAGAAAATAACTGTTCAAAACTCTCTAATTATGATTGGGGATTAAAAACAAATGTAAGAATATATTCATTAACTGGTGTATAATAGAGAAAGTTAAACCATATGGAAAAGGAGATATGTAAATTATATTTACTAGAAAATATTTATTATCTTAAAACACTTAAATAACCCTAACCTTCTGAACAAAAGTACTGGATTAATACTTACATGTATGCATAAAAGTAAGCACCGGCTAAAGCACATTGACCCCGATTAAAATAGATTATAAAACTGATTAGACAAACATTAATATAATATGTAACACCTATTAATATACATAACAACCATCGTTAATAGCATTTATATATATATATATATATATATATATATATATATATATATATATATAATATATATATATATATACACACACACATATATATATATATATATATATATATATATATATATATATATATATATATATACATTCCATATAATAGATAGAACTTGATTATTTTATTACGTGTGCATATCTAATTTAACAGTTTTAAGTATCAGGCTAAGTACAGAATACATTATATCTATCTATAATTAACTTAACATGTGCGACACCTAAATTGATTCAACAGATATTAAAACAATAATATATAATAATAAGCTGCAATTACATCTAACGGCAGTTTCTTATGCCAAAAAGTCAGTTCTCAAGCTGATACATAGCGTCTTGACGGAAATTTAAGTTTTTAAGTTAATTAAAATATATCTTTTTTTAATTTTTCGTCTTGCGATCTTAAGAATTTGACTGGTATAAATTATAAAAAAAAAATAATTCAAATATTATAGACAGCAATAAAAAAGGAACAATTCTAAACATATAATTTTGAATCAACACCAAGAGAACGTGAATTTCATAACACTTAACGGTTAGTGAGTATTCTACACCTGAAAATTGCGTTATGTCATGAAGCTCATAGTCGTTTTGTCCAAGGAGAATATCATGTATACATTATGTTTATATCAGGTATATTCATTAATATATAATTAATAGCTCATTATAACACTTAGGAAATACATATATATATATATATATATATATATATATATATATATATATATATATATATATATATATAATAACTCATTCATATATAATCGATAGCATATTATAACACTTGGGAAATATATATATATATATATGTGTGTTTGTGTGAGTGTATGTATGGATGATGAAAACGTACGTATACACATACATACATTATATATATATATATGTTTGTGCGTGTGTGCAAGTAGGTATCTGTATGCGTACGTTTTCCTCATGCATACATAGACACACAAACACACACACACACACATATATATATATATATATATATATATATTTCCCAAGTGTTATAATATGCTATCGATTATATATTAATGAGTTAGTAAGTATATATATATATACATTGGCAGGCTGATGGACGATGGTCTTTCTTTCACAAACCAACGAGCGATTGTTATACCGGTGTCCTCCATTGGTGACAAGGCAGCCTTATTTGGGATCAGCACTGATTTACCTATTATGGGGAGGGGGCAATAAAAGGAGCCCTAAACATCGCTTGCTCACACAGGGACTTGGCAATCCGCTGCAGCAATCTGGTTATCCAATAACGCAGTCGAAACAGCAAGAAAGATCAAAAGAAATATAGGAAGATTATCATTTTGGATCCTGGAATATTTGCGCTCTTCAGCACAATGATAAACATATCTTGTGTCTCTCGATTTGAAGAAATATAATATCGACATAGCGGCCATTAGTGAAATACGTCTGGCTGGCAATTCTCATCTTTGTGGAGATAAAGGGGGATACGGGTTCTTTGGGGTGGCAAGACTGGGGGAGAGCCACATCAATCTGGTGTTGGCTTTGCCATCAAGTCAGACCTTTCTAGCTCACTGCCGTCCTTACCTAAAGGTGTATCAGATCGTATAATGTCATTAACCCTCAGTCTTGAGTGTAAAACCCGAGTGACGATGGTTAGCTGCTACGCGCCAGCCTTATTTAGCTCAGAGCAACAAGAAGATGATTTTTACGATCTCTTTTGGGATATTGTCTCCAAAGTCCAACATAAGGATAAATTAATCCTTACAGGTGACTTGAATGCTCGTGTTGGCAATGGTTATTATTCTTGGAAGGGCGTTCTATGTCGTCACTGTATTGGTCGTGTGAATTCGAATGGATTACGCCTTCTTACTATCTGCAAGGAATTTGACATTATTGCTACTACCTTCTACCAGCAACCCAACTGTCGTAAGATCACGTTGATGCATCCTTGTTCGAAAGACTGGCATCTGATCAACTCCGTCATATTCAGTTTATATCTCAATATAATTGTATATCCTCAAAAATCAACGTCAACTCATTTCCTGTCGAAAAATAGCACTGTTCAATTATTACATGTAAAAATGCATTTTCAGATATTAACCGAAAATATTTTTTTTTAAATATACATTAAATTATATTTTCAAAATATTCGATCAGTTTCGGCTTTTTTTAATCAAAAACAAACCAAAATAGATGGAGAAATTAAAAATGCTGTTTGTTATTGTTGAAGCTTAAATAAGCATGGAATAATACAACACAAAATGTACGTTAACAAAATGTATTGAAACAAAGAATAGGTACACAATATTTACAGTTAGTTTGGTATATTCTTGGGAAGACTGTTCCTGCATAATGGGTTGACTAAATCGCAGTCGGGCAGAGTCTCTCGATTCAATTTCTTAATCTCTACTATCTTCCCCGTCTTCCGGTACCAACCCATATTTATATGGTCGGTAGTCCGCTTATGTAAATTAGGTGTATCATACACAACAGTTATTTCAACACCTCACTGTGAATTTTAATTTGATTATATCATAAATGAAAGCGTTGCAGTGCGTATAAACTAAATCCGAATTGAACCTGCATGGTGTGTACTAATTAATATTAATTAGACCGCAAATAATAAATTAAAATTTTTACATCAGACAAGCAAATATTTACTTCTTTATTTTGTCAATTCTATGAATAAAAGGCTGATGATAAGAGAAATATTTCACGAAAACACAAATAACCCTTATCAGTTGGCTACAGCATAAATTCTCTTTTTTCTTTTCTTTATTTTGCACTTATAAATGTCAGACATTTGGACAAAGATAATGTCAATCCTACTGGCATCTTGAGAGAAAAATGATATTATATTATGCTATTAAGTTTGATTTCTTTGTTCTGAGAACGTTCAGAAGTTGCGTTTGCTTAATGTAGCTGTCATCTTCAAGTTTTTTTTTTTTTTTTGCAAACGCATAGACAATTATCATTTCTTTTGTAGAGAACATTCAATATCAATGGTGTCCACAAAGTCGCTATGGTCTGAAATATAAACAAAACATGAATCGGAGTGAAACATAAACAAAGACATAACATTAATTAAACTATTAATATCATGCAACAGAAATCTACTTTCCACCTCTTCTATGTTTTTCGTAATGACTTTTAAAATTGTCTAGCGACTTTGTGAAAATCTGGTAAGGAGGACATTCCAACTTTGACCACAGATTAATCCTCTCATTCGACAAATATGTGATTCAAGTTTTGCCGGATTAAATGCCTTCAACTTTTTTACAATGGATTAATTTGTTGTCTACACCCGGCACATTCTCCATTTCTTTTATTTACATTTTCAACTCCTTTCTATTTGGGGTTATTACCAACTAATGTATAACTGTAAGAACATTTACGTGAAATTAGGTGGGAATATTTATCATCGTTTAGGGTTTTTTTAAAAAATTACCACTGGTTAAGCTCGTTTTAAATACCATTGGTTAGTCACTTCTGCGTAGAATAAAATATAATTCTACATTCTATTTAAGATCAATATGTCGCTCCCCGCCACTCTGCTAAGAATCCGAATACGTGTACGTAATTCTTAAGAAGAATGAGCCAGTACTATCTATTCAGCTTAAGATCAAAATATGTGTTCTATCAATACGTTTTTGTTTTTTTTCTAGTTCTCTGGCAAGGATCCGATTACCTCTGCATTTTTATCAGGGATCTATGATTCGCTGCTCTCTGATAATAATCACACTATAACTAGGATCAAAGTTTTTCTTCTAGATCAAGTGACCAGAAACAGAATATCCGTATATAATGCATTGGATCAATGTAATGTTTTCAAGTTGACTATTCAGAATTAGAATATATGGTAAGCTCTTTCTGGGATCAGTTATTCGCTTCTGAATCTCTCCATGTGAACAGACTAATGGCAAACTCAGCGTCGTATCGACATTTCTTTTCGCAGTGGACTGCGGAGAAGCATAATGAGTTTAAATTCTGACTCGTATTAAATTGTGGATATCGATATTAGATCTGATACATATAGTTTTTAACTAGGATCAAAGTATATCTCCGAGGGTGAGCAGCAAATAGGCCGACTCCTTTTAGGATCAATCTGTCGCTTTACTGTCTTCTGTTTTCGACCAGAATAGATGTAAGATCAATGATTCACTTCAAGGTTAATAGCTAGGATAAGAATGCGTGTTCACTTGGCATGGCTTAAATATACCACTTACAGCACATCTGTTAACTCGGTTTAGGATCAATATATCGTTTCTGTCTCTCTAGTGTCAGGATGTCTACAGAATCCACAGTCCTACATTCTAACTGCGTAATAACATTACTCTATGTGATGCGTTAGCAAAAACACAGTATATGCCATTCACACACTAGCTTACTCCTACATAACTTTGACTCACCGGATCCCGTACGATCACCGAACTTAAACAACGTCGGGCCTAATGAGGACCAAGATGGGTGTCCCTTTGCGGATATCAGGTGCTGTCAGCTTGACTATGCTGAATTATTGGATTCGTTATATTCAGTTACGCGCAAATACCATGGGGTAAAGTATTAATCCACCTCTTTTTCCCTATGTGATAATTAGTAAAACTTTTATCCATAAATCATTATTATCGATAAAAAAAACAAACTTTAATATCTAACTTTTTTGTCTAGTTTTAAATAACCTGCATAATATGAATAATGGCTCGGAATTGTTAATCGGAGAGCTGAGTTCCAATTCCAGGTACGTTATATTCACATACGCACATATATATTCTCGTACACACACACACACACACACACACACACACACACACACACACACACACACACACACACACACACACACACTTAAATACCTTACATAAATACGTAATCTATGGGTGACAAAGTGAACAGAATTTAATCAATAAAATGCTCAATAGAAATCTAGACTAATAATTATTGTTATAAATATTTTGTTTTTATCAACTCATCAGATGAAAGGTGATAATGCTACTAAGACGCAATGAGTCTACTGGAAGTGAAAGAGAAGGGAGAAGAATACTTTAGAAGGGACCGGAAATGAAAAACCTAAGTAGGGAAAAGTGATAAACCTGTAAACCTGTTCAAAAGACCCAGAAAAAGTGTAAACCGGATGTTGAGGCATGCTTTATTAAAGACTACGGGACTTTTCCGTTTAATAATCTTTCTTTCAAATTGTTTCATTATATTTGGGTTTAAGTTTTAAAAGATAATAGTTTTGCGTACCCAGGCAGTGTTGTTGAATTATTTCATTAGCGGTTGGGAGCGGATTATATTTATTATTTGATGGATTAGTTATTAAATATGTTTAAGATGTTCCTGTCAGTATTAAATCCTATTTTATTTATGTTGCGTTTTTGGTTTTTAATTGTGATGGCTTCAAGAATTTGTAAGTGTTTTTTGCAATTGGTTTTTAGATGTGCGGGTGTCATTGATGTCATGTGAGACGACTTGAGACGACTTGAAAAATTTGTGGTTGTGTGTCCGATTTATTAGCTTGAGATTATGTGAGAAGGACTCTCGAAAAGGACATGTAAACCTATACACTACATTGGGTTTATTAAGGAATAATTTCTGACAATTATGCTTTAGCTGTAAATTTGCTTTAGTATAGTATTAATTTTATTTGTTTGTGTTCTTGGACGGGATTAGTTTATAGGTGGATGGTGTTAGTTATTGCGAGATCATCAAGTTTATAGTTGCTGTGTAGTTGATTCCTATAGAAACGGTTAATATTATGGATATTTGAAAGATAGTGTTTTATCCGTTGGTTGATTAAATTTCTGAGGAAATTGTTGTTTATGGGTGCTTGTTTTATGTTGCTATGTTCCGGATGAGGAGTTGTCAAAAGCTCTATTGATTAAGTTTTTGATTAGGGCTATTTTATGTTTATTCTATATTTTATGTATTTATAATTTATATTGAAGTTGAGCATACAGGAGTTTTTACTTGTTGGCTTTTTATATATTGGTGGAATTAATGTATCTTTGTTGTTTGAGTCTATGTGTACGTCGAGGAATGGTATTTTTTATTGATATTTAGTCCGACTGTAAATTTTAAAATGGAATTTTCCTGAAAGTTTTGTTTATATATATATATATATATATATATATATATATATATATATATATATATATATATATGTGTCGTCTTTTGCGTTGTTATTTAAGATGTCCTCAACGTATCTAATGTAATTAGTAGTTTTGGCTATATTGTTATTAAATATGGTAATTTTATTTAGAATTCGGTGAACATAGGGCCTAGAGGAGAACCCATAGATACGCCGTCGATTTTGGTATATAGTTTTCCTAGTGGGTCGTAGAAGGGAACTTATGCTGTGCGTATTAGTAATAGTTTCTGTTGTATTATAGGTTTTATGGCAAGAGTAGCGAACTGAAGGATGGCTAAAAACATTTACATTAATTATTTTGATGGTTTCGTAGACGAAACGTTAGACAAAAGGTTTACAACGTCAAGTGCTGCCGTTATGCAATTATTAGCGGTAGTGGATTATAAGATTTGTATAACATTTTTGGTCGATTTGATGTTGTATTTTTTAGGTATGTATGGCAGGATTATGCTGTTAATATGTTTGACTATACGGTATACATGTGTAGAGATTTGTGAGATGATATGTCGGAGGAGGTTTCCTGGTTTATGTGTTTTTATTTTCCCATAGATTTAACCGAATTGATAATCACCGATTATTTATGTTAGTTTATGGGAACCAATTTCTGCGTTTTTGGCTGTAATGGTGTAAGTTAGACGTTTCTTAAGTGAGGAGGTGTTTTTTGGGGTTTTTTGTGAGATTTTGTAAATTTTGTTTTGTTATTGAGAATGTGATTTTAGTGTTATCGTCTTTTTTGTTGAGAATGACGTATATGTTATCTTTCTTGCCTATGAGGATTGTAATGTCTGGGTTATTATAGAGTTCGTTAGCGGCTTCTTTTAATGCTGGGGTGACTAGGTGTTTTCTGTTTGGGGTTAAAACAATGTTTTTTTTTCTTTCAGCTTTGAGAAGTTTGCAGAGTTTGGGATGTGTTGTTATTTCGTTTTTATTATATAGGTCTTGTATTTGTTGGAAAACGATATCGCGGTAATTTTTTTTTTATTTTTGGGAAAGGAGAAAATTAGGGTATAGTTTTAAGATTTGCTTTTGGTGTTCTGTAATTTGAATAGTGGAGAAGATTATATATTTAGATTCGGTGTTAGGTAGAAATATCACTCCTTGATAAAGTTTGTTTAATTTTTTGTTGATTTTCAATTTAATTTTATTTCTTCATTTTTTAATGGTTGGGAGATTTTTTTTGGATTTCATTATTTTACCTTTCTTTAGTATTGTTACCGAGTGAATTCTTTATTATGGTTAATTGGATGTTTAACTTCATGATGTCTTGGGCAGATGATATTTGTTGTTCGATTTGGTTGTGTTTTGTTCTGTATGTGCTGCTGTGTCTTGGAGTTTGGAATATATATATATATTTAGCAGGATGTCATTATTGAGGCATGTGTTATTAAAGACTACGAAACTTTTTTGCCGTTTAATAATCTTTCTTTCGGTTTTTTTTTCTTGCTTTCTTGCAAGTTTTCTTAGAATGCAAAAAAATAATAGAAATAAAGATTATGAAATAGAAAAGTTCCGTAGTCTTTAATAACACATGCCACAATAATGAAATGCTGCTAATATATATATATATATATATATATATATATATATATATATATAATTTCAAGGTGCTTAGTACATATGAACAAAAGGAAATAGATAATAAACGCAACCGAATGAAACATGTTTATGTGGACAGGAAACCTATTTTAAAACATCTTTCATTGAATATGAGATTTTGTTTTTAGTTTTTCTAATATTCTTACATGTTTCGGTTTGGTGGGAGTAAGGGAGTATAAAAGTTATCCGTAGTGTATTTTTTCCTAAGTGCTTTCGACCCCTTTTTAGGCATTTTCAAGAGTGTTTTGTTGTTAAGTTTTGTTAATTTCTTTTCATGTTTGTCTGGTTAAGATGTAGTTTTTGCTATGACTAAATAATAATAGCGTTTATTCTGAGCCTCAAAAATATCTTAAAACAGTAAATAGAAAATTTATTCAATCAAATCGCCAGAGGCTTCTACCACGGCTTCTAGATGACTTCGGAAACTCCCGCAACTCTTCTAGATTGTCTCCTTGTTTAAGATGGTGAATGCTACCATAATCTTCGCCTTCGGTACGTCGTCGGTATTACAAGGAGATTTGCTTGTCTCTCGCTCAACTGCGCCCAAACATAATAATCACGAAGGGGATTTACGTGCTCGTAGAAATTGTTTGACAGATTCTCCTACTTGTGTGTTATGGTGCAGATTCCTGTTGCCAGACATGACGCCTTCCATCAACTATGTTCTTTACCCAGGGCAGCACTATCGTAATCCTCCGTGTTGAGTCTGAGGTCCTCACCGAAACATTCCGGCGTTCTTTTCTTATCAGAACAATCAGAGTGAGATTTTACGTGTTGCCTTTCCTTCGTAATCACCATTAGACTCATCTAACTCCTTGGGACTCCTCTGTACTGTCCTCAAATTCACACCCATATGCTGGTGTTGGACCACATCGTTGATCACACGCTCGGTCTATGGTATCCTTAGCCTCCTTCTGTAGAACCACATCTCCGTCACCTGGAGTTTCTTTATCTTTGAGGAAATCGTCCAACATTCTCTGCCGTAAAGAAGGACAGATGTCACGTAAGAACTCAGCATTCTCTTCTTCGTTACTGTTTCTTTATTCAGAGAAATAATTTTAAAATTTTGACAAATATTTCTTTTTGAACCGGGCGCCACAAGTCAAAGACAAAGACGCACGGCTATTTCAATACAAAGAATGAAAAAATACACGCTTAGATTAAAAGACAAAATACCGGATCTATTACTTGCTGGTGTCGACACAACTTGTGTATGCTTATAAGAGAACACACTTTTCTTTATGCCAGACCAGCTGTAAAGATAATCCTGATAATTTGCAAGCAGCACAGATATGTTTATATGCAAATTCATAAAATCACTAGTCATTTCTTATATCAAATTTCAAACCTAAAATTTTTTTGACGTAAATTTTAAAACATATATCCTGACAAAATTTAAACTGAAACTTTTGTAAATTTCTTATATGCGCTTAATAAAAAACGAAATTGCCCGATTTTGTATATTATTATATCCATTTTAGGAAAACAGTAATCATTTCATACATCAAAGCTCAAAACCTAAGATGTTTTTAACGTGACAAAGCTTAAACTTTAAAAAATGAAACTGCCCCATTTTGTACATTTCTAGTTTCTTTGTTATATAAGGCATTTTTCTCAAACAAATTTTTAGAAGATAATTTTTCTATTTTTTTTTTTTTTTTAGCTCATATCTATTTTTCATCTATTAGGAAACTGTTTAACATCCACTTCTCAATAAGGGGACTGATATCACATTACAGATAATAACGATTTCA